ATCTTCAGTATCAGTCTCTTACAGAGACTTGAATTCTCTTTTATCTTCTATACTGAGTTATACAGCTGTCTCTTCAGCACTGTTTCTGAGCTTTAAAGAATCTTAACTCTCTACAGCCAGCTTCTTCTACAGTGATAACAGAGATTCTTTTATAGAATTCTTCTCTGCATTAATAATATTATAATTAAGTTATTTAGACAGTGTATCAGTAGAATTAAGCTGATCTGAATGATATCAGATATAGAAATCATACTCTGAAAGCAGCTCTGCTCATCTGGCTTGACATTCTATCAAGCTCTTTGTTATCAAGAAGTAATATAGATTTACATAATCAGTGAGAACTTGCACTGAGTACTTACTACTCTGAAGATAATATTGCCAGATCTTAAAGAATTTGATAATTACTAATATCTTCTAATCATGAGTATCATATCTTCTCTGTATAAGTGATAACTTCTTGAAGAAGAAGATCACTGATCTTTATTCACAGTGTCTTATAGACTTCATGAAAAAGTCTTCTCTCACAGACAATTCATTGTCTATTTTCTCAGAGATGATTATTCTCTGATTCTTTCAATATTGAAAGGTCTTCAGTATCAACTGTGAAAAGATTTCACAGACTTCATTCTCAGATGCATCAGTCTCACACTGACTGAGTAAGTCAAGATTAAAATGATTCAGCATTATAGTATCTGTAAAAGCTTGTTTCAATTCTATAAACATTTGTGCAGTATCTTGAGTGAGAATAAACAGTCTTATTTTCCTGTCTTTCACACTTCTCTTCAATAGATCTGTAAAAGAGGCAGTAATTCATGAATATGTATAGATGAATCATCTGTAGAAATTTGTAAATTCTAGAAATATCTGCATCTCACAGTACATTTATAACATCAGCTAGTTCTCAATAGCAGAGACTCAGCTTCTATTCATTGAAATGTCATTTATCTCAATAATATAATCTAAGAAATCAATCTTCTACATGTAGAATAAGCATTTTTCAGTGTTTATATAGAGTTAATACTATCTCAAGCAACTTAATACTTCTTGAATATGAGTATTATATTCTTTCTCTGATTTTAGGAAGATTAAAATGTTATTCAGATATACTATGCAGAAGACATTAACAAGACTCTGTAGTATCTTATTTATATAGATCTGAAAGATGACTGAAGTGTTACAGAGATTAAAAGATAAAACAAGATATTTGAAATTACTATACTTAGTATGAAAAGCTGTTTTTCAAATGTTGTCTTTATTAACTCTGATTCTATGATAGATATCTTGTATATCAATCTTTAAGAATATCTTCACTTCAGATAATTGATCAATCATCTCATCAATCAACAGTAATGAATAGTAATTCTTAACTGTTACCTTGTTAAGACCTCTGTAGTCTATGCATAGATGTAGCCTACTATTCTTCTTAAGTATAAAGAGTATAGATGTCTCTGCTGAACTCTTTGATGAATATATTCAGTTCTTTAATTATGCTTCTTCAAGATATTTATGCAGAATATTCAACTTCTTTATAGACAAGTTGTAAAGAGATCTATACAGCACTGTTACATCATTTTCAAGATAAATCTTATATTATATCTTGATATCAGAAAACTTCACTGCTTCTCTTTCTGAAAAGACATTCTTAAAATCTGTAAAGAGATGTTATATACATTCATCTTCAATGATAAATACTGCTGCTAATCTTACAGTAAGAGTGATGACTTCTTTATCTATTCTCAAGTCTCAATCACCTGCTATACAGTATATTGACTCAATCTTTTTCTTAAGATTCTTCTGATGAAACTTTTCAGATTTCTCTATCACTATCTCTTCATTAGTGAGGCAGTACTGTCACATCTAAGTGACTCAGTCAATGAGAGAATTGTTTTCTCTCAATCACAGAAGATCTAGAATAATGTTCTCATCTATAATGTTAACTGTGTAGAGAAGCAGACTGCTCTTCTTGAAGATTTCTTCTAAGTCTGTGATTACACACTTTGCTTAAATTATATTAAAATAGTGATATTTCATTCTATCTGTAAATTTTACATAATCTGACAGATCTATCTTCTTTCAATTCTTCATCAAAGAAAAGAAATAGAATATGAAGTTAATATTTATCTCAGAGTTAAGTAGATATCTCACTGATATCTCTTCATTTGAGATATGCATTGTAATTGTAATATAAACTCAGAGATATGAGAATTATTAATTCTTTATTTCTTTCTCTTCATTATCTTTCACAGATATATTTATCAGAAGAGAAGTTAACTTTAAGAAGATATCTTCTTAATTTCTTTTCTTCTTCAGTTTCTTATAATCACTGACATAGTGTTTATCAGCTCTGCAGTTGAAATAGAGATCTTTATCAAATCTTTTTTAATATTTCTTCACAGTGAGTGAAGAATTGAAATACTTAAAATTCTTCTTTACTTTCTTCACACTGAAGCTGTTACAGTACTGTTTAAATTCTGTTATTAATTACTTAAAAGAGATCTTATTAATCTTTTTCTCAGAGAATTGATTATTTAAATAGATTTAGAAAGTCAGATTAACAAGCTCAGTATAATTAATTATTGAACTCTGATATTATAATATCATTATCTGCATCTTATAAGTCAGCTTTATAAGATAAAGCTGTATTTTTAATTGATTTAAATTATCAGTTAATTTCTCTTAATATTTTTTGAATCTTACATTGAAATCAGAAGAATTTTCATCATCTTATTAATATAATAAGTTAAACTGCTATACTACTATGAAGCTGTAATTACAGTAATCTTTAATTTAATTCAGTAGAAAGTTCTTGAATTCTTCTTAAGTTATAACAGTATTGATACACTCAAGCTCTTTCTTCTTAATAATTCAAGTAGTCACAGAGATGTCTTCAAGAAGATTGATAATATATATTACTTATATCTCATGAGTATTATACTAGCTCAGATTAAGATGAAATTTTTATTCAAAAGTATAGATAAAGCTGTGAAATTCAGATAAGATATTTTTCTTATATCTCAGTAAATCTCTGATTTTAATCTCTCTATCTTTATAATAGATGTAGATGTGTAGAGGTCACAGCAGTGATAAAGCAGTTAAAGAGCTTATATTAAAATATACAGTGAGTTCAGAAATCTCAGATTTCTATCAGAGTAGAGATGTATATACTCTAGAAAATAATATAGTATTTCTCTCAGAGAGTGAGATCAGATCAGTCTCAGTGTAAGTATATAAGATTATATTAGTCTGTTAAAGCTTGACTGATTCAAATGTATAATCAGATTAAGTAATTTAAATTATAATGTGATAAAACTGAAGCAGTGACTAGTCAGCAGTGATATATAAAAGTAGTTATTTAAGAAACTGTATAAGTGAGCTTAACTATCTTACTTAAATAGTGAGTTTATAGACTACAGAGTTATTGCAAGAATATCATAGATATAATACTTAGTATACTAAGAAGATTGTATGAGATACACAGTAACTCTTATATATATTTCAGTAGAAGAAAAACAAATCACTGACTTCTTTAATGAGAAGTCAGCATCTAGTTATTCTATATAGATAATGAGTGAATACTCTTCTCTCATTTCACAGATGAGAATAGCTGAAGTGATATCTCAGCAGTATCTCATTATTAAGAAAGAGTAATCTGCTGACCTTGTATAGAAGCAGAGTTCTTATATTTATCAGTCAGATCTTTCTATGATATATCTGAATAATATTATAGAGTGATTGAAAACCAGTTCAGACAGTCTGTGAGATGAATGAAATTATTCACATGAAAGCAATGAGCTGTGTGAAACCGCAGTGAGGCCTTGGCGCGGCTGAGAGCGTGACAAATATTATTTTATTATAATCTCTTTTTACTTTACTTATTTCTTTCTATTCTTTTCTATCTATCTATTTAATATATCTATCTTTAAGACTTTATTCTCTTTTTCTTTGTCATGATATTTTCAAATAATTTCAAAGTATTAGAAGATGTTAAAATACTGTAATTTATAAAAAGTTTTTATATTCTGAACTGAAATTTTCTAATTTTATATATCTAAAATTAATAAATATATAATAGTTAACTCTATAGATATTAGAAAAACTCTGAGAATTAAAAGTTCTTAAATAGATATTATAGTCTCTGACTATATATATCTATAATTAAAGAATACTAATAATAATAATAATTTAAGCTAAGTTATAATTTGTTACAAATATTTATAATAATTAAATATAATATATAATGAAATAAAAGTATTTGAGAAATTCAATCAATCTTTCATCTTGTTAAATTCTGATTTAAAAAATATATTTTCACAGAGTATTATATTATTATATTCATTTTTCATCTAGTTGATATAGCATTGATGGCCTCAGTGGTCAAATGGTTAATGCAGCCACCCGGTAGCACCTTGGCATGGGAAACCAAGGCGTGGGGGTTCGAAACCCGCAGGGGATACATTAAATCCGGAACTCAAGCACCTCAGGTTTCTAATAAATACAGAGGTGTACAAATCGCTCCAATAAATCGCTCTATGTTCCTGGGCTGAGAAGTTATTATCGCATGTATCTAATTGTCACTCCTTTGTATTTTTCTATGTTCTTGTTATCTTGGCGTGGTCTCAACACCTGTCTTTCCTCCTGTATAACCAACACTTGACCTGTATTTAACATCACGCAAGGACTCATCATAAGCTCCGCTTGCATATGAGTATAAATGGAAGAATAATAATATAATAATGATACAGCATTGATGGAATCGCAATCTGATTCTGGCCTTAAAGTTTTATTTGTTCCCTCAATCTTGGCACTTGCTTTCGTGAGCATTGGGCCCGCCACATTCTGTCACACTCCAACTTCATTCGGGCTCAACCATGACACCTTTTCACAATCTGCGCAATATAAATGATAGTAAACGTCCCCTCTGCACTCCACAACGTCACCGCCATCCGGGCGCAACAGTGGAACCGCATACCACCACGGGGACAAAAACAGCCCCCCCAACGATGACATTTTCCGAATCCTCCATGCCAGGCACCTTCTTCCTGGACTCCCCTATCCCCCCCAAACTCGATCTCGCCAGTGCCACATCGCGGTTCTACCACTCCCCCCACACACACCCCGCAGCTTCTTCTCTCTGCCATTCGGTTGGGCCGGAGCACCAGGGAAGTCGCAAACGTGCAAGATATGGGTATGGCGGAGTGATGAGAGGGGATGGCAGCCCCAGCCTGGAGGACGGCTCTGTTACTTTTGCGACTACTACGGCTGCGACTATGAGTTCGTGGGGAGAGCGGTCAACGCTATCGACGATGACGATAATGGCGCCCTTGTCTCGTATCGCAACTCCCATACCGCTGGTTAATTAATACATACGGATTGTCGTTTTGCGGGTGCTGCTGACTTCTCGCCGTTTACGCCGGGGTCTGAGAAACAATGCTACGAGGGAAATGGGCCTGAGGTGGACTATCGACCTAACCGCTATCGGGAACTGATGCATACGCCGATGGATAGCCCTTCAATAGGGTCCTTGTCACCTGTTGTTGGTGGTGGTAGAGATGGAACTGTGAATTCTCGGAAAAGAGGGAGGCGGGAGTCGCTATTATCGGAGAGTCCTGATTCTGATAATAATAAGAATAATGCTACTGGGGGAGGCTGGGGCTCGACTGTCGTGAAGATTGTGGGGGGTGTTGCTGGGAAAGTATGGGACTTCTGTTGGTCAGGTCCTTTCAGCGGGTTTTACGCAGGGGGAGGTAAGGGGTATCACATGGGATCAGAACCTCAGCAACCGCCCGCACCATCATTACCACCATCACAGGTAGTAGAAGAACCAAATGCGTGGCAGAATGTCTGTGAGAAGGATGATGTCTTTTCCTCATCTGGTGGAAGAAAAGATGGCGGGATTGCTACGGTTCCGGGACATTTCCCCGTCGATTCCTTTCATAAAAATCCCCGTGTCCTCCACAACGACCATGATGAACTTCAGGGGAACTGGATCCTGGTTCGGAACGCCAAAAAATCCAAAGATGTGCAGGAAGATGATATGAGCCCGTCCTCAACACATCACTCTTCAGCGCACAAGATAGCTCGGAAGACTAATTCAGTTACGCCACGAAGAGTCGCAGTCGGTAGACTTGCCAGAAAACAACCCTTTCTAACTCCCGCACGACCCTCCTCTCCGTCCTCATCCTCAAATCACCATCCTCATTATCATCAGCTCAGTTCTAGCCACGGCAAAACATCTTACGAACCTGCCAAATCAAGCAGTCCAACCAAATATGGCAGTTCACCGGCTTCCATTGAAGCGCAGCGACTTGCTGCGAGGGCGAAACGGCGCGAACGGGAGGAGGATGCTAGTATTCGCCGGTTGAATCAACAGCTTAAGGCGATGATCAAAGAAGGGAAGGAGGCGCTTGGGACGAATATTGAAATTGAGGATGATGGGATGGATATGGAGGATTGGGATTGAGTTATTTGAATTCCCCCCCTCCCCCTTTTTTTTTTTCTTTCTTTCCCCTCTGTTTTTCTCTTGTTCTCTTTTCGCTGCTCTGTGTTTATTGTTTGCAATGATGATGAGACTGATGCCACCACCACACTACGATATGACAACTTATGCCATACCCACTTCTCGGGGTTTTAATGCTTTCATTCGTTGTCTGTTACACAAAAACGTTTTTTTGTATACCCGCTTCCATTCTCCTGTATTCTCATTGAGACAACCCCTCAAGGGTATTTATTTATGACTTGATGAACCAGCCGTACTAGTGATCAACAATACCAATTTGATTTTACCAGCTAGATTAAAGCACAAACATCCTGTAGCCAAACTGTGGTAAGTTGCGGCTGGAATCCGGGGTAACTGTGCACCCGACTCCACACCCGCGCTTATCCTCCCCACAAACGGTTGCACTAAACCAAATGCAGACTGCCAATCCCAAACCTAACTTTCCGTGAAGTTTGACGAACCTCACGCCTCCCAGGTTCCATCCGAAGGTGTGCGGAAAGAGAGCACACTGAGGGAAACAGAGCACACAGACACACTCTAGAGAAATAATGCGGGCAATCCTAGCGGCGCAAGACGACCACCGCCCCTAGTCAAGGTTTTAGAAAAGATGCATCCATTACCACCGCCACCAGCAGTATCCACGAGTACTTCCTATCCGCCTATGCTGCTATGCTCTCGTGCCTGTCGCTCGCAGAGGAAGACTACGATAACTACGTAATATCATTGTTGTTTGTTGTCGCTATATGTGGAAGACACACACAGCATGGCGGAGGAATCAGCTCATGCCAGTGCCAATGCCAATGGCGAAGTTGATGAGCGCGATCACAATCATTCGCTGGGTCGACAGCAAGCCGTGGACCTGCCAGCGCTGACTTCTACGGGGAGGGCGATTCAGGCTTGCGATCGGTGTCGGTTTAAGAAGGTGGGTTTTGTTAGGTTTGGATTGGATGGGGGTTTGATCTTGAAAGTGGATGAACTTGGGATGCAACGCAGTTGGATGGAATGCATTGGGCGCGGCAGAAAACACTATCGCTGACACGTGAAATGTTCGTTCATTTGGCTTTTTAGGTTCGATGCGATGGCACGGTTCCGACTGTATGTATAACTATCTACTTCATTCATTCCTATTCAATGGCCCTCTTTCGTGCATTCATTTACGCCCCGCCCTTGTGATACAGTGTGGGAGGTGCAAAACGGCGGGCCTCGAGTGCCTCACTACGGTCAAACTCAATCGCAAGTCCTACCCAAGAAGGTATGTACGCGCGGAGACCATGACATCAATTACAGCGGGGAACGGAACTGGGGCTAAATGGTGATGACGATTGGCACCTTAGCTATACCGAATCCATTGAAGAACGTCTGCGGCAGTTGGAAGCGGAGGTCCATAAGCTACGCGTGGGCAATGACAATAAAGATAAACGCATTAAGGAATTGGAAGCTTCTGGTGCAGCTTCTACTCCCTGGCAATCGACAACAGCCAATCGCCCTGAGAGTGTACCAAAGCTTGGCCCAAGACCAGCAACAGACGAGCCTCTTTCTCGGGAAGTCGGGCGCATGAACCTTGATCGAAGAGGGATAGGTCGTTTTATGGGATCTTCATCTGGGGTATTCTTTATAGGAACCGCTGAGCAATGTTTTGCCAACATCCCCAACCACGCTGCGAAGAAAATTGGGGATTCCTTGCTTAGGGTCGATGTGGATGATCAGTCGACCGAGTATCCCGTTCTTCATGCTGTTGACTCTGCGGCGACTTTGGCTCCGCTACCTCCCCGTGAAACTGCTGAGCGGTACATTGATGTCTGGTTCGATGCTTGGAGACACATTTTCCCCATTCTGCATCGCCCATCTTTCACGAATTCCATAAATCATCTCTATGACAGCCCTATCTCTGAATGTGAACGCTCTGTTCGAGGGATTTTCTATCTAATACTAGCCCTTGGTTGTCGTCATCTTTTCCTCACGGGTGATGCTGGTGGTGGAAAGCCCACTGTCAGGAGCAATCAGGAGGATATGGAGTATTACAGCCATTCATCTAAATACCATAATGATATTCTAGCACTGAATGATCTTACCACCTTGCAGTATCAGGAACTGCAGACTTTGTGGTTTTTATACACTGGAAAGCGCAGTTTGGCGTTTCAAATGACTGGGAGTATGACTCGCCTAGCGCTTGAGCTGGGTCTGCACCGACATACAAGGCGATTTCAGTTTGGTCCATTGGAGACGGAATTAAGGAAGAGGGCCTTCTGGGTGTGCTATATGCTTGACAAGTGAGTTAGGCTTCTCTTTATCTATTTCTAGTGGTGGTCATTGAACATATCTAATTTGAAACAAAATATGTATAGCTTTGTCTCCGCTATTCATGGACTGCCAAAGTCCTTTCGCGATCAAGATATCGATGTCGAACTACCTTCGGATGTTGACGACGATTTCGTCAACACAAGTGGCTACTTGCTTTCCCTACCAGGCGAGCCTACTGGGATGCTAACGTTCGTCTCGCTGATCAAAGTTGTTCGCATTCTTTCCAATACTCTCGAAATCCTGTACACTACAACCGATAGGAGACAAACGGTCACCAAAATCAAGATGATCGATAGATTGCTTGACCAGTGGATCCATACCCTTCCAGATCACCTTCAGCTAGGCCCAGACGCTTTTACACAACCACCACTGTCGGCAGATGGAGTTCTTACGCTTATCGAGCCATCAATTGCCTTCTTACATATATCCTACCTGTACACTCGACTTTCCGCGCACCGTGTTGCACTCTCTTTCTTTCCATCGCAACCACAGTATCGCACCTCGCTCATGATATGCATGGACGTCGCTAAAGAACTGACATTTTTGAATTCTCGTTCCCGGCGATGTTTACTCGTGTTCGATGTCAATCCCGGTTCACATGTTTATACTTTGTGGACATGCGGGTTGCTCTCTCTATTCGGCATACATGGATTTCAAAACGGGAATCAGAAGTTTGAACTATCCACGAAATCCAGTGATGACGCAAAAGCATCGCTGTCAGCGTGCGTCGATCTTCTCGATGCACTTGTGGCAGCTGGTCGAGATGGGGAGAAAGTTCGGTCCGATAATTTACGATATATATCAGCGGCGTTTTCGGATTGTCAAATCTCAGAGTCCAATACAATGAAAACCGACCAGCGCGAAACATGGCACCAACCACCTCCACCTGTTTTACAACAGCAGCTTCAGCAGCAATCAGTGGATATCACACATACACCGTCGTCCTCAAACCAATCACCCCCCGTTCCCACTCCTCCTGCGCATTTCCCCCAGTTCCCACAACATTCAATATACGGACATCCGTCCCCAAACAACTTACCTACCCCAGATACCCAAATGCAAAACTCTTCACAACCGCACCCACAACCACCACCCCCACATCCACAAACAGACATGCAATCCCCCGGCCTATCCCGCCTAGCCATGTCCGCCACCTCCCCGTCCTTTATAAACACCTTCAACATCGACTTTTCCAGCCCTTTCTCCCACCCTTACGACCGCATCTCCGATGCCTTCCCCCCATCCGCTGCTCCCGACAACGGCACCAACAACAACCAGCAAATCGCTTCTGGCTTAACACCCCCGGCACATCATCAACATCAGCCACACACACAACATCCCCAGCATCCGCACCAGCACCAGCACCCACACCCTCACCCTCATCAGCGCCAGCACTCGATGCGGCAGGTCTGGGATGACCCTGTCTTCAACTTGCCATCGATTATGCATGTGTCTGAGGCGGGGGATGGTGGGGATGGTGGTAATAATAGTGCTTCGTTTCCTATGCTGGATATTTCAAGTGCGGAGCCAGTTGGACTTGGGGATGGTGGTGGAGATGCGGGTGGGAGTGGGGCTAGGAACGGGGCGAGGAAGAGGGCTAGAGTTGGGTCGTCCGGTTGAGTTCTTTTCGTTCTCCTTTTGTTATGTTTTTTTTGGTTTGATTTTGGGATTTGGTATTTTTGAGGGCGCTGGATGCTGGAAGCTGGATTGTACTTGGAGTTTTAGCTAATTGAGAATTATCTCCAATCTTTGTACATTTTTTGAGCTCTTGGCATTTTTTCCGTTTCCTTCCTTGTTTGCTTTAGCGATGTTGTTGGAGGATATATACATCTAGATATACATGTTTTGGGTTCCAAATCTCCTTATTTATTTACTGCTTATTATAGACCGCCCTTTTTAACCTTATTAAGCGTTTGCATTTCTTACTTTTTTGCCAAATTTTGAGGTTTTCTTTTTCTTTTTCTTTTTCTTTTCTTTTCTTTTCTTTTTTTTTTTTAAAAAAAAAAAAAAAAAAAAAAAAAAAAATTAACACTGGACTCTCTATCGATTTGAAAGTCTAGGGAATTCCTCACCTCTTAACTCCTCGCCCCTAGCTGGCCTTGCGGCGACCTAGGGAAGGATGGGCAACAATACTTATTTTATTCTGTGGCACGAAACAAAAGGAGGAGGGGAAACCGTTACGATGACACTTCTGGCGTATGTACGACGACATGATGCTTTGATATCTATCTATCTATCTATCTATCTATCTATCTACCTATCTATCTATCGGTCTATACCCCTATGTATGTGTACACACCGGGAATTTTGAAATTCTTTGTCAGAGGGCATAGCCTAACTTTCCCTACCACCACGTACCAAATGTGAAGCGATATGAGCAAGAAATCAATCGCTTAAGGTGGGGCGAGCTTGCGGAGGATTTTGGCTTCCAAGCTTCCAATGGATATACCGAATAGTACCGGGTAGGGACCTAAAAGCATTCTGGCTGAGCCAACAACTATGGTTTCCTAGCAGGTCATGGCGCTGATGAATGTATATGGACATGCCCTGGTAGTGTTGCGGTTGGGATGCGTGCACCGAGCAGACCCGCACGCGGAGGTGTAACGATTGTGGTTCAACCGCTCAACTTTTAAACCTCTTGAATGGTTTTATCACGGAAAAGATGTAGACCAGCAGATACACGATGAAGTAATTAGCGATCATGAAACCGATGAAGATGCCTAGGTATGGCCAGCCCTTGGATGCCGAGATGTTATTTTCGGCCAGGTACTGAATCATTAATTATTAAGGTTAGCTCCATGGCGTTTGTGGGATGAAAGTACTTAAAGAGAGGGCCAAAAAAAAAAAAAGGGTGGGGGGAAAGTAGCTATTAACCTCATCACCATATTTATAGGAACAATACTGGCAATCTCCCTTCCCATCAGGATTAGCCAGGTATCCCAGAGCAGTAGATATCCATTCGCCAGCATACTGTCCGCAAGTTTGGTTTGAGGGAGCGTGGAAAGTAATCAATTCGCTTGCGTCGCAGGTAACCTCGGCACCCTTCATGATCATAGAAAGAATACCTCCAATCCAGTAGGTAAATGGCGTCAAGTAATACATGGTGTAGGCCCAGAAAACCGGCATCTCGTCTTGAGGCTGCAGTACACCATTGAACAACTCGCACATGACAAGGAAAAAGGGCATAAGGTTGGCAGCCATGACAGCGTCGGTACTGGAGAAGTTGTTAGTATGGCTTCTTCCCCTTGCATGATTTTATTACAAACGGTTTGATATTAGTTGGGAACACGAACCTCATTGCAGCAATCCATTGGCCCCAAGACGTTGAGAAAAGATGGAAAAAGATAACCATGAGATATGTATATCCGGCAGAAGCACCAAGAGGGAGTCCCACGGAGTAATAGAAGATGAGGTAAAAAATAGTTCCTCCGACAAATGAATACGGTATCTCAGATAAGATTTGAGCGGTAGTGAAACTAAACCATCCGTATATCCTGCTAGGATATTCGCGTTCTTCCCACATATCGCGACTTTCGATGAACTTCATCGAGGTTCCGTTGACAAACTCGGGGACAAGCATGAGGATCAAGAAACAGGAGAAAGCTCGCGATTGCATGTCTGTCTCGCTGTTTCCGATTTGGAGGTAGGTGAGACCGTTGAGTAAAGCGTGGATGGTAGACGCATAAAGCTTTGAATAGGTGTATTCAGGAGACCGCCAGTAATGTCGACTCGTACGCTTGGTGAGCTGGACAGTTTGATCCCATGTCGAGGCGGCGAATTCCTTCTTGTCGCTTATTTGGCCGAAACCATCCCCTTCATTTTTGTAGCTGCAAATGGCGTCGACTTCCTCCTGGACTTCGGACGCCTCAGGAGACGCTTTCCATACCTCGTTCCAGTCTATATCTTTCCCCTTCGCTTTACATACTCCGACGCCAACTTCGATTAATAGATCAGCAACATTCTTTCCGTCTTCAATAGCAATACCGTAACGCTCAAAATAATCGCAAATAGCTTTCCCAGCAGGTCCAACCTCACCGAAGTAATAGACATTGCCTCCGGGGTTGAGCGCAAGAACTCGATCAAACTATAGTTTTGTTTAGCCAAAGCACAAGGACGGTAGGGTAGGGGATAGTGGGAGAGAACGTACGACTTCAATCTGCTGATGACTTGCTTGGTGGATAGTGCAAACAATAGCAAGGCCTGCATCTGCGAGCTTCCTCAACAATACAACGATGCTAAAAGCACCTTCACTATCGAGACCCTGTTGTTTGCAAGTGTTATTTGCGGCGTTTCAAATGATAGAAGGGCAAGGGGAACTACTTACGCTAGTAGGTTCATCTAGAAACAGAAGATGGTTTGGTTTGGCGCAAAGCTCAACACCAATAGTTGTCCTTCTCTTCTGCTCTATGGGAAGCGAGCCTATCACAGCATCTTGCAGCTCTACTAGTTCCAGAGTCTGCAATACCGTGTCTACATAAGCAAGCTTTTCCTTGCGTGGTATTTCGGCTCCCTGACGCAGCAAAGCAGAAAATTCGAACGCTTCTCGGATGGTACTTGTCTTGTCCTGGATATCCATCTGCTGACAATACCCAATTTTTCGACGAAAGCTGACATCTGGGGTGTGGCCATTTATCATTATATCGCCAGTCACCGTACCGGCGTTTTGACGCTGAGTCAGGGTGGTTAACACTATTTCGGGGAGACCATGTTAGCTGCCTAAAACCAAATGCCTGGAGTGTGTGTGTTGCTTACATGTTGATTTACCAGCACCAGACGAGCCAACTAGTGCAGTTAGCGACCCAGGTCTGCAGTATCCAGAGGCGTTATTCAACAGAACCTTCTCCGAGTCGCCTTGTCGGACTGTATACTTCAAATTTCGCCATGCGAATGCTGATTGCGTCTTTGCAATTTGATCGGAAGTGCTAGTAGTGCCCAAGTTTGTCGTCGCTGGAGGTACTTTGTGGTCAACATCGAATGCCTTGTTTTCCTCATCGTGACCTACCGCGCCGCGTTGACTATTTCTCTTCCTGTTATATGTAACAGCACCAGCAGAACCGTCATCCCACTCAACAGTCTCGCAAAGCCAGGCGTTTAGAGCGGTAAAAGCGACGGTAAACAGAATCAAAATGCCAAAGTTCCTCCACACATTATGATAATAGAAACCATATTTGCTGGCTAGGAATGTGTCACCACTAATTGTTAGCTGTCCCGGTATATTCCCTGGGCCCGCGCAAGTTTGGTATAACGTATCTGTGTAATCAGGACCTGAAGGGATAATCGTTCCAGGCTCGCATTTAAGTTCTAGATTATGAAACTCATTGGCCATGCATGCTTCGAATGCAAAAAGGGCGGGCGTGGTATACTATGAAGATAGTTAGCAGGAAATGAGTTGGAGCACATATTTGTTTTACTTACCGCGATCCATCCAACCCAAGGCACTTGAGAAATAAGTCGGTTTAGAGGGAGCAGATAGCCGCTGTAGGTAATGGCAATCAAGAATCCCACGCTACAGTATCGCAGAGCAACTTCGAAACTGGAGAAAGAGGCAAATAACCGGAATTGTGAAGTGTAACAGATAGTATGGAGGTATGAGATGAGGAAGAATATGAAGAAAGCACTAGCCTACACACACATCATTGGTTAGCAACACACAACGATGCCATTGAGAGTTAGGAGTTTCTTGGTAGAAAAGTGACTCGCCTCCATTTTCAAACCAGCAATAAAATAGACGACTATAGAAAATACAACCGTCATAATGAAGACTGTGACGAAGTCGAACAAAGTACGGGCAAACGCAACCGCGCTTGGCCTCACAAAAGCGAACCTTTTCTGACGGCTAATGATATCGCGACCTCGGATTGAGTCCTCAAGTTCAGCTAGTTGAATCCATGGCAGGGTGAGAATAGCATAAAAGATGAAGCCTCCCCGGGAAAAAGCACCCTGAATATTTGCTGGAAGGTCGTAGAATAGTGACGAGATCAAAAGTCCTAGCACAATTGAGCTGGCCAGTTTCATGTACAGATGTGCAGGATATCCCTTAAGGAGCCACCACTGTCGTTTCGTACACACCACAACTTGTTTTACCAGCGATGTGTTGTAAACTGACTTGGCGGAAACAAAACGGGATTTCTTTTGTTTGGCAAAGGCTGTAAAGCTTTCCCTGCAATCGGATCCGCAGGTTTGTTGAATTCGAGTAAGGTCGGTTTCGTAATTTTGGATATCCTGCTGAACGGCTTTGAAATATTCGCTTTCCTTGAACGCCTTTTCTAGCTCAATTGCCCCTTTCGGAGCTCGCTTCTCGTACCCGTCCCGGAAAGATCGCGTTTCGGCCGATGTTATGCCAGTCAGGAAATCCGTGATGGTTTGTCTGGGATGGCACTTATAGCCCAAGTCCTCGAAGTAAGATTTCGCTTTGTTCGCAGGGCCCTGGTATAGCATCCGGCCTTGGTCGATAATCATAACTTTGTCCGCAAAGTTGTAAACGGCGTCGGATGCCTGGTAAAGCGTCACAATGGTCGCCTTACCACAAGTGTCCGTCATGATTCGAAGGCTTCGAGCGTAATCGACTGCAGCGGCAGCATCCAAGCCACGAGTAGAATTGTCCCACGCAGCTACTGCCGAATCGGTGGCCAAAGATTCGATAATTGACAGGCGTTTCCGTTCGCCGCCGGAAATACCACGAATATACTCATTTCCAACAAGTGTCCCCATAACGTGAGATATACCAAAAACTCGACCATACAACTCCAGCATCTCCGAGATCCTATGCCTTAATCGTTTTGGAGTCTTACTCTCCAAGGCAAATTCCAACGTCTGGCGCACAGTTAATGTGGGAAAGTGAATATCCTCTTCCGGGATATAGGCGACTTCGCCCCTGAAATGTTTCGAAATATCCTCTGGTTTGAGCCCGGAATAGTCAAGCGATCCAGTCACGCCTAAGAACGAGGAGTGATGATTTGCTATGGTTCGCAAAAACGTCGAACACCCGGCACCCGGACGTCCCAGTACCCTTGAACGGGGGGAAAATGTCAATGCTTGGTTCTAGTCAAGGTTCAGAAGAGGAGGGAAATACACACAACATAATTTCTCCACTGCGCACCACCCCGGAAAAATCGTTGATCAGAGGTCTTCCATCTTGTAGCTTTGGAGGAGCAATCCACCGTTTGATTGTCCACTCATAGACGTCTTGAAAGGTGCATGTCCTCCAAATTGCGTGTGCTAACGTCTTCACCTGCGCATGCTCGTTCCGCACCCCCCAAGTCGACACGTTCTTGAAACACACTCCGAGCCGACCAATCGGCTCGCTGCCCACAGATTTCACACTGCGTTCTCTAAAGTATCTGTCAAGGGATGAATGGGGTTCAGGATATTCAGTGTGTTCCGTTTCAGAGAACTCAGTTAACGTCCGGTGTAAATCAGCCAAAGTTTGCTCATCCTGCTGGGTTGGATGCACTTGGGGTTGCGAATCATTTCGGTGCTCGGTGGCATAGCGAACACGTTCGCCATGAGTTGGAACACGAGACAGTACCGGCACTGTCAGCGGCATGACTGTAGAGCTGAGGACCAGACTGTGTACTCGTCATGAAATATATACCAGTGCGACTGAGAGATGGTTGAAACCTCCATTTTGCTTGAGGTACCGAAAACGGTCTTATATATGACATTGCAAAGAATACGCCGAAGAGGGGGACAAGAATAAAAATTACAAACCAAAGCCACCCGACTCCAAACTCTTGAGTGGGCCAAACCTAACTTCATCGAATTGGTTTTTACCGAGAAAGGAAGCCAAGCGGAGGACTTGCGACCAAGGTTTTTGATGCCAAGCCCGGGCCTTTTCTGATAGATTGCCGAGAACATTTCCACGCCGAGAAACTAAAACCTTCGACAGCGACGTGACGTGAGGCTAAACCCACGGAGGCAGCCAAGACACAGCCCTAATTCTGACCAGCTACTACCGTGGGCCAGATTGCAGTGGCGAGATAACTAACTTCTAATTAGCCGATTCATCATAACTTGATCTGATCTCCTCGTGGACGGGTTTGGATTTATTTCTCCCAACTCCTTCCATTTCGATATTAAGCTGGTAAATGTTAGTGACACATTAGTTTGATGGGTGGGAATGATGTCGATTGCAGAGGCGCTCTTGGGAGAAGGAGCATGCTTTCTCTGGGCACGACAGCTTGGACCCCCTCGCCGCCCCAGGATCCAGCTGTCAGCCAAGCCTTTTCGAGCAGTCCATGCTATACCTGTCGGCGCCGGCGTGTAACATGCGACCGGCTGATTCCAACTTGTCGAAAATGCGATAAGGCGCAGAAGGCATGTTTGGGGTATAAGAAACCACTGACTTGGGTGCATGGTGTTGCCAGCCGGGGAAAGATGATGGGATTGACATTTGACGATATCACGGCGAACAAGTCCTCGCAAGCTACCTCAGTGAATGGCATTGCTGGGCCAGAGGAGCACAATTCTGCAGAATCTTTCCCCTTTGGCAGTTGCTGTTTCGGTCCCGCCCACGATGCATCCGAGGTACTGCCGGGCAATCCGGGATCCTTTGAGTCATGGCCGCTGTCGTCAGTCAGAGGCGCCAATGGCCCGGAAGAATGCCAGAAAGCAGACATGGCATTGTCAGAATGGGATTCGAGTGATCAGCGCAGGAAAGACCAAATTGAATGCTATTCCCATATCCCGCTGACCCTGATAGATCCTATTTTTCAAGGCTTGGACAAAATATCGCGATACTATCTCACATATTGTGAGTCATCATCGTTGCGTTGGATTGGCGATTTTCGCAGACATGTTTTTGCTAACAAATCTAGAAGTTGATCGCAAGTTTTGTAAACTGATGGTACTTTTCGAAGTCCCTCACAAAAACCCCTATCGCCGTCTTATTCAGATGGTTAATGTTTCTTCGGGTGTGTGCGCTGCAATGGCTGCAATAGGCGCGTGCCACCACCTGCATGTTCTTCATTACTCGGACCAACATCCACTTGACAACCACTACTTGAAAAGTAAAGCGCGGTCGTTAGAGGATGGCGAACAGTTTGCACGCTCGCCCAATGCAAAAGTACGAGTTACTTATCAACATCTATTACTTCTGAAGCATCGAGCACTTAGTCAGCTAGAGCAAAATTTGTCGAATCCCGAAACCCGAGGGCAGGATACATCCATTGCTACTTCACTTCTCCTGATGGTTCTTGACATGGTGGAATCAGGCCGGGGGACGTGGAAACTGCATGTCGAAGGTGCTAAGAGGTTGCTCCAGAGTCGTTTCAGCCCACTTGGGGAGATAGACGAGGATGGGTCACCACGAGTGCCTTGTGCAGCGTATGATAGCTTTAATACGTTCCTAGCAGGAAGCTGTATGACGTGCGTATAAATTGCACACAGACCCTTTCTAGCATGCTATATTTTTTCTCGCCCTTGGTCAGTAAAGATAGTGTTTATACCTAACACGCTTTGTTTTTTAGCTTCGACATCATGGGATCCACACTTACTCCGTCTGGGAGTTGGTCTGAACCGGTATCGTCACAACTCATAACTTCACCGAATCTTTTATCTGACACGGAAAAAGAGGTTTGGCTTGGTTGTCCGGGTTCTTTGCTGCACATAATCCTCTACATTTCCTCCCTGCGACATGCGGGCAGCTCATCACAAACCCTCGGACCGAAAGTAAATCTCTCCACAATTTTGTCCCAGATTAATGCCTTTGACCCTGAACGTTGGACGCGAGAAGTCTATCATTCCATGTACGCAGGCACGGAGTATCCCTTTCCTGACCACCATTTCTCAAAAGAGTCATATTGGAGACCTCCTGAACCTGCGGAAAGCAATAGCCCACTGTCGGACTCAGACGCACTATTACACCTTGCTTCAGCGTATAAAATAACAATCACCCTTTACGCAATCCGGATCCTCCTGCACCCCTCACCTGAGGAATGCACCTTCTTTGCGGAACAGGTCACCACAGTCCTAACCCATATCTCACTCATCCCTCCGAGCTCTGAGCTGTTCAAGAGCATCCTGTGGCCGACGTTCATAGCGGGTGCAGAATGCCGCTGCCCAGAGCAGAGAGCATGGTTTCGCGATAAATTAGACCATATGTGGCGCCAGTGCTGGACTGTAAATATACGGGAGGCCATGCGCGTGTTGGATGCGATTTGGAGTCGCGAAGATCAACACGATGGGGACTGGGCGGAGTACTTCGATCGGTTTGGTGCTAACTGGTTATTTATTTGATTGATGAGGAGGTATGTTTTTCCAGCGATGTGATGAGGAATTGAAATTCTCCATTCGAGAGAAATGGCTGTGAAATATCTCAGAGTCAAATCCATGAGTGGGATAATGGGAGTTTGCGCGGAGCCTCATTCCTTAACAAAGAGACTAGTGAATACATACCATACCATACCCTCTTTAACAACATTGTTTCCATCGAAGTTCACATATTCCTACGAAGATTTTCATACTCTCAAGTGAGACATATGTCCCAGCACAAAAATTGGCTTGTTGATGCCGATTTGATTGATTGGATGTGACGATAAGCTGAATGGGCGTAGGAAAGGAAGTGGACAAGTTGTAGGTTATGGTATGGTAGTTATGGGATGGAGGAAGGTTGGGTTGTGCAGCTTAACCAAGGTCTCTCCCCTGCATGCGCTAGAAATCTATACGGAGCCTTGGCACCGGAAGAAGCTCAGTCAATTCCGACCCTTTACTAGGTAGGCCCCAATTCGGCCCCAAATGATAGGGGTGTCACCCTTGGCCGCTCAGCGGAATCTTAGGCATTGTGCCCCTAAACTGCCCCTAAATATTTTGGGGCTGGTAAATTTGTAACAGATATACCATTCCACTTATACCCCGACACCACATACTCTCCGTAACTACTATGTAAGTTAGTCAACCTACTTGTTTACAATTCTTGGGCCAAGAGTTCACCTTCGTAATGTAATAGATCGAAAATATTGAGCCTTCAGTCTCTCATACAGGCTGGTACTTTCAAAGACCAATCCTCTTCATACGTTTTCCGAAATTTCGAGAAGGGTAAAGGTATCTAAGGAAAAACCGAAATGGAACCCATCAAGACAAAGAGCGGCAAATGTTAAAAAAAAAGGCCCAAATGTTGAAAGGCCTCCCACACTGGGAAAATTACCTTCTAACGGTTCCTAAAAAAGGTCTCTATCGACAAACTCCTCCCTGTTCCAGATGATCTTGGTGACTTTAATAATAATAAGCTTGTCTGGTAACGTTATTATCAACTGTTCATCCAACATGACCGTGAAGATAATCTCGATTTTATACAGTACACCCGTAGCCAAGAGGACAAGAGCAAAATCCAAGACCGGCTTTTGATTGAAGGAAGAGTATTACTACTACCTACAGCATAATCCGCTGAGTTGATCAAAGTCTTTACCTACCTAGGGTAGACAACTATACTCCGTATATCATTCCCACATGCTATGGCCCATCTAGTTATCCACCGCGTGCAGTAGCGCTGTATAAACCATATTCCTTTTTTTCGAGATAGGGGGCCAAGCAGCGTGCTCCCCTTTTTTCTTTCCACCTCCTAGAACTAAGTGTTGTCACACCAACGCCATTACAACCCCCAAAACCCATATATTTAATCTTCCAATCAATAAAGAATGTTACATTCCACTTAAGAACAAAAATGGAATGGAAAATGAAAAAAAAAAATAATAATAATAAAAAATAAAATAATAATAATAATAATAATAAAGAAAAGAACGCCCCCCCAAAACAACACCCCTTCACTTCCCCCTCAATCAATACCCATAATAATTCACAATCTCCCCCCCAGCCGCCTCCTTCAACCTCCGATTCTCCCTCTTCAACAACGTCCGCATCCACCACGCACACACAATCGCCCCAAACGCAAACCCAGCCGAAACCCCAAACCCAATCGCAAACCTCGGCTTATCGTAATTCGGCCACACATATGCGCCGTAGATGTACCCAATCTGGCCCGCAACGTTGTGCATCGCAAGCACCACCGCCCGCTTCTCGCGTGTCTGCGACAGCGTCGACGACACCCAGCCGATTATCACCGAGTTGACCGAGTAGGCGCCGACGGGGAAGATGAAGCAGGCGATGTAGCGGCCGGCGGTGTTGAGCGTGGACGAGGCGATGATGAAGCCGACCATGGCCACGCCGAGGCCGCCGGTGATGTGCCAGGTGCGCTCGTGGTGGCGGCCGGAACTCCAGCCCGTGAAGATGGCGCCGGCGGCGGCGAAGATGAAGGCGGCAGGT